CAAACCTTCCCCAATCATACTCAGGCCTGCCTGGGTCTAGCCATGCCCTTTCCCTCCAGCCAAGGACTCACTCTAGCACCCCCTGGCTTCTGCCCTGGGCCACTGCAGGTATGTGCCTGCATTTCTGGAGTTAAATGTGAATGTCTGTCCACTTGCAAATTGGTTTGATCTATGCATGTTAGACTAACCTGCAAAGATTGAATCAATTCAGGCTCCAGCTTTTTGAATATCTGTCCCTAGCCTTAAAGTACTTCATGCATAAATACTGGATTTTGTAATGCAGTCTTTCAATGATTTACTAAGAAATCATGAACCGTAGTTGTGTGCATGAACATATACATTAAGAAAGCTCTGAGGGAGTACTTGTCTTGGTTTCTCTTATCAGCAAAGGGCTTACAAGGGAGGAATAATGAGAATTACTATACTAATACAAATAAAGGGTGTGTTTGTTTTGCAGCAAGGTGTGTTCTGGCAAGGGCACTTCAAGCACGTGTCCACCCATTCCATGCACACTCCAAACCTGGAACTGTGTGGGGAAGATAATGCTGAGGTGTCTTCCACTCTAAAGCACCCTGGAGATCCGAGTCTTAAGAGCAATCCTGAAGGAACATGGTGAAGCAGCCTCACCAAAAGATTTCCTAGTTTGGAGCTTGTGTGTTTTGTGGAGGACAGTGTGTGTTTGGGGTTGTCCTTGCCAAGATCCCTGGTATAGATCTACCCACTGTGCATTATCTGGGAACTCAGCTTCAGTATTCAACAGGAAGTGATGCCTTAAAAATTCAGGCCTAAAATAGTGGTCAAGTATGAATTCTGTTTTAAACATCATCCTTTGACTTACGTTGAAAATGATAAGTGGTCCATGCTATCAGATTTGAAAATAGTTTGCCTTTCAGTTGCCTTCAGAATGCTGGGAGGAACCCTGCCTGACCCTGCAGTTTGATGACTTGATAATTTTTATTGATATCCAAGTCTGACCTGGTCTCAATCCAGTGGAGCACTTCTTGTTCCTTTGTACAGTCTATATTTGTTTCTAGCATTTGCTGCAAGAATAGAGGCAACTAATTATAATATTTTTTGCTTTTTCAGTAAATTACTTGGTGTATGTGAATTGTGAATTTTATTGACTTTTTCACTGACTTTTCCTGTATCTGTCTTTTTTTTTTTTTTTTCCTATTCTTCTGGCACTTACCCCCACACCATGTCTATCAG